GAGGTATCTGAGCTCACCTGGCTCCCTAGCCGCGCCTCCGGGGGAGTTCAGCATGTCTCCACAGAGACCGCCAGTAACACAAGGCCGATCCCGCCACTCCCTGGGCAGGGTGGCCGCGGCCGTTCCCCAGCGCTCCATAGGGTTGCCAGGTGTCCGGTTTTCGCCCAGTAATTGCCTCTTCTGTCCAGCACAGCGACTTTTTTTTGTTGCGCTCAACCAATTTGTTCCCCTGCCATGTTGGGGATTTTTTGTGAAGGTGTCGGGCAACCCCTGCTCTCCAGGGATTGGCCAGCAAAGCAGTGGCTGGGGGGGGGGGGGCCCGTATCCAGTAGGGCAGAGACAGGCTCCAAAGGACTAACCAGTTTTATTTACAACACTCCTCAAGTGACAGACAGAGCAAGAACAACGTGGGGCATCGACTTGACAACAAAGGGAAGGGAACAGTGGCCATGAATCTGGCCTGCAGCGCTCGCAGTGCCCGGCTGCCTGTGCTGGGCAGAGCACTTGGCAGCTCCTGCGGCTGCTCCAGCAGCACTCCCGGGCCAGAGGCTGGTCTCTGGGGCCCAAGGCTCCCGCTGCGCTAGTGGCAGCTGCTCAGTGGTGGGCTGTGCTTCACAGGGTGCAGTGATGGCAGAGTCGCTCTGCGCAGGGCCATGCTGAGACCCCCCAGCCCTGTCAGATGTCAGGGTCCCAAGGGGGCCCCCTCCCAAAGTCCGGGCCGAGCTCACAGGTGGGGGGAGGACGTTCAGCTTGACCCAGCAGCCCTGCCTACAGCATGTCTTCCGGAAGTGAGCTGGGCTCCACAGCAGGCTGTGTACCTGCCTTCCCCCAGCTCCACCCAGGGCACAAGCCTGGCCAGGAAGGAGTTACTGCGGACAAGGCCCAGGCAGCTGCAGGGCAGGAAGGGCGCAGAGCTGGGGAACCCCTGTAGTACTGCAAATCCATCCAGCGATGTCAGCCAGGCAACTCCCCTCAGCCACAGCCAAGCCCCCCTCAGCAAGTGCCACCCCCTTCCTGCCGGGCAAGAGCTGCCAGGCACCGGGCAGAGAGCAGAGAACGGTCCGTGCTTCCAGCTCCAAGGGCCAAGGCTGCACCCTTCTAGCTTCAGTGGGCAGCCATGGGGCCTGCCTCACCCAGGCCGGGGAAGAGCCAGTCAGTTCTTTGGAGTCCCACAGCCCCTGAAGCTGTTAGCAACCAAGTGCCAAGGGCTCAGACTACCTCCTCCTATTTGACGAGGGGAGAGGCGAGGTGAAGGGTGAGAGGCCAGTCTGTGGGGAAGGCCTGCCGACCTGCTGGCCTGGAGACACAGCAGCAAGGGGCACTAAGCTGGGACCCACACGGCATGCTGCTCCTCCAGCCTCTGACCATGCCCACCTGCTCCACAACCTCTCCACAGCCAACCTGCTCCTTGATGCCAGGGGAAGGGATGAACGCCAGGTAGCCTCCACTGGCCCAAACGCAGCCACTCAGCTCTGCCCGCCGAGCACCAGAGCCCAGGGGACCACACCACCCACTCGGCAGCCATCAGAGCAGCCAAGGGCACAGCTGGGAGGAGGAAGCTGACTTTGTGGTCTCAACACACGGAAGAGGAAGGCAGCCCGCCGTGAAGCTACAGGGAAGGGGCAGGAGTCCAGTACAACATGCTCTAGGCATCCGCAGTGGAGTTCCAACTTGGGCAGCTTCAGAGCCAGCCCCAAAGCTGCCCAGCCCTTCCACAGGCAGAGCACAGACCAGAGAAAATCAACACAAAAATCTTCAAATTAAGTTTGCTTGAGGACCTCAGGACATCAGCCAATCGGCAGCAGAACCTGCCTTAGGATTTCTTAGCATCTTGTGTGTTTCTCCTCTTCAGATCGCTCAAGTCAACAGGTTTAAATGCTGGGGGGAGGAAGGGGGGGAGAGTTCAGTACGGGGGCTGGGCTCAGCACTGCCAGCCTCTTGAGCCCTCCCCACCAGGAGGCTCAGGACTACCAGCATCGCGCCCCATGGGCTCAGCAGCCCCCTGGCCCAACACACTGCAGGAGTCCAGTGTCACTATGAAATGCGGTTGGCCCCACTGGCTTGGCGGCTCCCATTCACCCTCCTGCGGCTGTATGTTCAATTCGGATACATTACTGGTGTCCCCAGGGCTCCCTTCTCTCTCAGCAGCCACTGCTCTCTCCACTCACTTCAGCATGGTGGACACTGGTTCCCTTTGATGGGCCAAAGGTCCCACGGACAAACTCACCCTTTAGGCTGGGGTTTGGCATCTTCTCCACATACTCCTCCACTAGGCCCCTCTCGCTGCCCTTCTGGCTGTGAAGGTCTCGCTCCACACACTGCCAGGCTGGGGAAGGAGCAGAGCGAGAGGGAGAGGAAAGGCCTGTGCCACCGCAGGACACGCCAGCTGCTCTTGCCCACTCGTCTCATCCCTCAGGAACCCCCCTCCTCTGCACAGCCCAGGGCACGTCAGAGAGTTTAAGGCCGGAAGGAACCATTAGAGTCTCTAGTCTGAGTTCCTGCACGCCGCAGGCCACTGAACACACCCAACAGCGGGACTGATCCATTACTCGATGGCAATGGCAACATCTACTATATACCCAAGAGAGTGTGTGCGCCTGTCTGGGCATCCCTCTGCGAGTCCGTTTGTCCAAGAACGCCTCCTGAACGGTGAGAGCTAGGAGCACCACAGTCGGTGGGCAGCGTCCTCTTCTCCTCTCACTGGAAGGAATGTTAAATCATGCTCCCTCTCCCCCCAGGGGCTGGGAACTCACGGGCCCTGAGCTACCACCACAGAAAACTGCTCCGGAACAAAGCTCCAAACCACCTCAGCTCAGGGAAGGAGCAGTGGCTGAGCGCTCCTTGCCTACTGCTCTGAGGATGAAGCCCTTTGTGGGGTGCCAACGCTGAAAAGCAAGTGGCCCCAGAGAGGAAGAGAGCCTGGGACACAAAAGTTAAACAAGGAGAAAACGTGGCCTGAAGGACCTGCAGACACCAGATCACTCCACCCCTGCCCAGGAAAATTTCCCCCACTCTCCCACCTTCGTAAATGAAGCGCACATTCTCCTCGTGAGCTGGGGTGAAAATCTCGCTGCTGTTGCTCGGGGAACGAGGGCTGCTGTTCCTCTTGCCATTGTACACAACCCTGGAGACGGGGGAGCTGAAACCAAAGCACAAATCCGGATGAGGAGAAACACAAAGCTCTGAAATGAAGCCCAGAGAGGGAGTGCAGGAAATCCTACAGCAAAGGCCCTGGAAAAAGCACCCATGCAAGCTGGCCCTTCCCCAGCCCTGAAACCAGCAGCACAGCCCTTAGCTCAGGTAACAGGTGCCCCAGAGGGGGTGGACCGAAGACAATGATCAAGTGATTTGGCTCCTGCCATCCCTCTCCAGCCTCTGACAAACCGAGGCCAGGGACACCATTTCTATCCGCTGGCTAATAGCCGTTTTTTCTAGCCCCCGGCTAACAGTAAAGCTAGTATTGTTCATGCTGTGCCCAGCCCCAGGGTATCCCCCTTAAAAGGGAGTCCATGCCTCTCCCCTCCCCCACTCATCTACAGGGCCTGTGGAAAAGTGTCTCACCTGGTCATGGCTGCTTCCTTGCTCAGCCCCCTCTAGGCCTGCCTTCGGCAGCGCAGCCCCTTGGCAGACAGGAGATGGAAGCTGGAACAGAAAGTGAAAGGGGGCTGAGGGAGGGTGGAAGCCACTGTGTCTGCAGCCCCGCTAGCCATGCAGGCACCCCAAGCTGGGGCTTCATGTGCTCCCAAGCACAGCAGCAAGGCCTTGCGAGAGTCAGAGTGGCTGCATTCCCACCCCAGCAGCTGCGGCGCCCCTCCAGAAAGGAAGGAGAAGGATTTCGGATGGGAGCTCGTGCTACTTTAACCCATCAGTGCTCAGGGTGTGGGGCTAATGCCACCAGTGCGCTGATGTCGTACAACCCCCTCATGTGGGCACAGTTATACTGGTGCAAACGAGGGTACAGCCAGGGTCGCTATCCCCACCCACCAAAGGGAACAAGCCATGCCCAGACAAGGTAGCCCTGCCCCAGTATACCTATACTGGGAGAAGGCTTCACCCTTGGCTGACAGCGTATGTGCCACAGGCCTTGAGAGGCAGCAAACCTGGGGTCACCCTGAGAGGGGGAAGCCTCGTCCAAGGTGATGCTGGAGTCTGCCAAGGAGGGGACCGAACAAACGGCAGGTTGGGACGAAGCCCCGGATCAGTTTCCTGGCTCCCAAACCCGCTGGGCTGCTGGTCAACGGCCGCTGCTCAGGACCTTTCCATCCCTGCAGGCCATTGCATAGGAAATGGGGGGGAGGGCGGCAAAACCTGTGCTGCTGTGGGGCGGGGTGGTGCCTGCTGGGGAGCTGCACCCAGAGGTGCCCACAGACCAGGTCAGGCAGGCACGACTCTGGCACGCGCAGCCCGCTCCCGGTAACTGTGTGAGGGGACGGCTGAGAGCAGTAACCCCCCCAGCGGGGCAGTACCAGGGCCCAAGGGCAGTGCCAGGGCTGCTGGGGGGGGGCGGGTCAGGACGGTACCAGGGC